ATGGAGAAGATGAAAATGCTGATGTAGATGCAGAAGATGCACAGAACGCCTCGCCAACACAGACAGCACCACCTTCTTCATTGAACACTACAGCAGTGACTACTCCAGGGCACACCTTTCCGCAGACTGCAACTACACCAAAATATAATACGAGCAGAAAACGCTATGAACCACCATCTTCGTCTGTACAACAGCTCATTAATTATTTTGAAGGTAAAAAACCTAAAAAAGAGAACGAGGCCATTGATTCACTTTTCTTGGCACATGCACAGACTGTGAAAACACTTCCCTTAAAGCGTCAAGCCCGAATAAAACTAAAAATAGCCGAATTAATAGCGCACGAAGAATTTGAACATATTGAAGAAATGTCTTCAGCGTCTACCCAGAATTCTGCAAGTATGTATGATAGTAGTATGTCGTCCTTCCCAAGCGGCACAGGGTTTACTCCAATAATATACTCAACAGAGGAGGCAAATTCTGCCTCGAATTATTTAGCAACATTTAATCCTAGTGGCAACATGTAGTCCAATTATTACAATAAAATATTTATTTCACGATCCCTGAAGTTTTCGTATTCGATAAGCCTACTAATTTTAATACATATAATTTTTTTACCTGAGTGTAATAGCAAGTCGTTCTTCTGGCGAAATAGCTTCACGATGATTTGTGTCAGATTTTCGTATTTCATCTTTCACCAAGTTCAATATTTCATCGAAACACTCTGGAGTCATTCTAAAATATACGTAAAAGCGCTGTTCATCCAGCCGAAGTTGTGGCACTCTGGAGTCATTCTAAAATATACGTAAAAGCGCTGTTCATCCAGCCGAAGTTGTGGCATCAAAGTATGGTATTCAACAAATTTATTTCGTTCCAAGTTAATATCATGTACCCACTTCCTTCGTTTCCTAAACAAAATTGAAAATATTTGTTTTATGTACTTCGTTAAACTTAATACATAAACAACTATCAAATAGCGTTAAATAAACATAACTTACCGTGCATTTTGTTCCTCTTCTTCTAAAGCAAGAAATAGAAGTGCCTCCTCTTCTTCTGAAGACGAGCTCATTGCAAAAGGCAAAAATAAAATGTACGCAACCTGTCGAAACCTTCACGTTCGCGGAGCGAATAAGACGCTTTGGTATGAATAAACAGGCGAAACAGATTGCGAATTTCGCTCTGAATTTCGTTGCGAATACTTCGCCGCGATTATTTCGCGCCGGTTTGTGGGATGCTTAAAGCTTCCCACAAACCGGCGCGAAATAATCGCGGCGAAGTATTCGCAACGAAATTCAGAGCGAAATTCGCAATCTGTTTCGCCTGTTTATTCATACCAAAGCGTCTTATTCGCTCCGCGAACGTGAAGGTTTCGACAGGTTGCGTACATTTTATTTTTGTCTTTTGCAATGAGCTCGTCTTCAGAAGAAGAGGAGGCACTTCTATTTCTTGCTTTAGAAGAGGAACAAAATGCACGGTAAGTTATGTTATGTATTAAGTTTAACGAAGTACATAAAACAAATATTTTCAATTTTGTTTAGGAAATGAAGGAAGTGGGTACATGATATTAACTTGGAACGAAATAAATTTGGGGAATACCATACCTTGATGCCACAACTTCGGCTGGATGAACAGCGCGTTTACGTATATTTTAGAATGACTCCAGAGTGTTTCGATGAAATATTGAACTTGGTGAAAGATGAAATACGAAAATCTGACACAAGTTATCGTGAAGCTATTTCGGCAGAAGAACGACTTGCTATTACACTCAGGTAAAAAAATTATATGTATTAAAATTAGTAGGCTTATCGAATACGAAAACTTCAGGGATCGTGAAATAAATATTTTATTGTAATAATTGGACTACATGTTGCCACTAGGATTAAATGTTGCTAAATAATTCGAGGCAGAATTTGCCTCCTCTGTTGGGTATATTATTGAAGTAAACCCAGTGCCGCTTGGGAAGGACGACATACTACTATCATACATACTTGCAGAATTCTGGGTAGACGCTGAAGACATTTCTTCAATATGTTCAAATTCTTCGTGCGCTATTAATTCGGCTATTTTTAGTTTTATTCGGGCTTGATGCTTTAAGGGAAGTGTTTTCACAGTCTGTGCATGTGCCAAGAAAAGTGAATCAATGGCCTCGTTCTCTTTTTTAGGTTTTTTACCTTCAAAATAATCAATGAGCTGTTGTACAGACGAAGATGGTGGTTCATAGCGTTTTATATTTTGGTGTAGTTGCAGTCTGCGGAAAGGTGTGCCCTGGAGTAGTCACTGCTCTAGTGTTCAATGAAGAAGGTGGTGCTGTCTGTGTTGCCGAGGCGTTCTGTGCATCTTCTGCATCTACATCAGCATTTTCATCTTCTCCATGGCCGCGGTCTTCCAAATAAATTTTCGGTTTCTACATTTCCAGCCCTTTCCTGATATATATTTGAGTTAAATTCGGCAGTCTCATAATATATGACGTCAATATCTTTCACATTAGACGACGTTTTGGCAAATGCCAAAAAAGGACGGAAAAATTCCATGTAGTCAGCCCACTGCCATTTCTTTATGTTGCCCACTGCTTGGCCGGTCTTTGGTTTGGTAGATTTTATATATTTTGCAAATGTGTCTCTGATATTCTTCCACCTTTTTTTTTACTTCATAACCTAAAAAATATTTTTTTTTTAGATTCCTTGCCACTGGTGACACCTTCTATACCATTGGACATAGCTTTCGAGTTGGCTTTACAACAGTGAGTGCAATCGTAACCGAAGTCTGTGAAGCGATATGCAGACATATAGAGCATATATATTTACCAGAACCAACAGAGAATATATGGAAAAAATGTGCTGAAGAATTTGAAAATAGATGGGGATTTCCCAATTGCATTGGCAGCGTGGACGGTAAACATGTAACAATCAAGAGACCTAACAACAGTGGCTCCAATTACTGGTGCTATTTACATAAATATTCAATAGTACTTATGGCCATTGTTGGCCCGGACTATAAATTTATATGTGTTGATATTGGTGGTTTCGGAAAAAATAGTGATGGGGGTATTTTCGAAACCTCAAACATGGGAAAACGATTTGAACAAAATTTAATGAGTGTCCCTGCACCTAGATTTCTCCCTGGGCAAAATGAAATCTGCTCGTACGTCTTAATTGGTGATGAAGCATTTGCTTTAAAACCATACCTTATGAGACCATTTCCTTATAAGCAGACTTTAACAGACGTCAGAAAAGAGAAATACAATGTAAGACTTTGTCGAGCTAGAAGGGTCGTGGAAAATGCGTTTGGTATTTTGTCTCAAAAATGGCGAATATTTTACAGGCCATTAGAAACTAAAGTAGATACTACTATTCTAATTGTACGTACGGCATGTGTTTTACACAATTTTTTACGAAGTAAAGGTGGCGATGACAAATATTTTCAATTCTTAGATCCCCCAGAACCCGTGCTTGGAGCTTTTACTGATATAGCAAATGATCCTCGGCGGGCAGAGCAAGGCTAGCATTTTCTATTCGTGACAAATTCGTAAATTATTTTAATTCTGATATGCCTATGCCCAATATATAGAATGTTCATTTTCACATTTGTGTAGACTGTAAATTATTTAGCAAGTTAATAAAAAATATTAGGCACATACCATTTGTATTTAATTCTTTTCCTATTTCCATCCAAATCTTGTATTTCTTTCTCACATTCCTGTATTCATCGTTCGACAAAGCATACAAACAAGGATACTTTTTCACTATTTCTATCAATAATTCCGTTTTTGCCATTGCGAATTTTTGAAGAACGGCGTCAAAAACGCGGTCAAAGGCGAACTGAAATACGCCGCGATAAAAACGCTGGAACAATCGCATTCGCTTCGCACAAGTCTGAGCCTGTCCGTAAACCGCCGCGTTTTAATCTGATCGCGAATTCATCGCCGCGAAATTTTCGCAGCCAAAGCGAATATTTCGCTCCGGTTTGTGGGATGCTTTAAAGCAAACATTTTGCGCAACATGCGCCATCTAATCACTCCGGGTGTAACTTGATACTATCAAAGGGAAGATGAAGGGGAAATTCCATCTGTTCCCGCTCCAAAGCTTCTGGATAAATGTGTCGAATTCATATTTTAGTGTAGACATTGAGAATTATTTTTTAAAGTGTCTAGATATAAATGAAACCAACTACAAGCCGCTATGAACCTGCATTCTTGCACTCTCTTGTGATCTTTATTATTCAGGAACATCTCAAATGTACGTTGTGACTCTGGGTCATAACATTATCAGTTTTTTCCATTGTCTGGTATCGGTTGAACGTGAATTTAATGCAAAAAAACAACAACGAAAAACATAACCTAACAATCTTGACATATTGTCATTTTCGTTATCTCCACCATTTCGGAGCGTATAACTCCAAATAAAAAGCTGGTGCATGAGGAGGCAGGGGATTTCAAAAATGTGTAGCTTAGGTGCATGACACTCTAGCTCTAGAGCACTGAAACGGTACTGACAGGTGGTGGGTAGCTCCAAGTAACTCAAATGACTGGAAAGCGGCTCTCTATTAAAAATCATACACGTGCAACAGATAGTTCAAAATGTATGTTTCCGTTACCGCCGATTTTACGCAGTTCTCGGAGACATAAACAAAGTCACTTATGCACAATCAGCTAGCTCAAATTACAAAAAGACGAAGACTTCGGTAATACCATATATTTATTTGGTCCTTGAAGGTACATTGAAAAATGACAATTTGCTACTTTAAATTAAGTTACTTGATCTTCAAAATGAATAAGCTTTTGTATCAAAAAATCGTATTGATTTTGATTGCTCAAGACATTTAATTATTCTTAAAAGTTATCAGTACACAGAGTAGTATAGTACCTACATATAGGAACACTAATTCTGTTGGAATAAAGACATCAGTATTTTTTTCTGTTGTGAATACATCTTCGAGAATTGAGTAGGCAAATACATTTTGACTTTGACTGACACTGTGATACTTATGTGCTTTGTGCTACTTACATTTTCTGGAATTTGCCCCATTGTAGTCCCTTCGTGGACTGACTGGGGGCTCTTGTTGGCCACCGGAATTTTGGAAATTTGTGTATTCACTGTACCTATCAAAAAACATCAACTGTCGGAAACGGTATGCTCGGCTTTCTGTACACGCTTAGCAATGACAATCATACACTGGCACTTAGCACTTCACTCGTCCACGAAAGCTTCTTGTCGGGAAACTGTACTTCGAGGATTGTTCTAGTTTATCAAATAAAACAAATGAACGGTTGAACAGTGACGATAATGTACACTCAGACATACATACACGATGTAGATTACAGAATGATTTGGCACAACAAAAGGATTAGAAATGAACTGTAGAAGAGCTCTGGAAAATCGAGGTAAAATCACACCCAGTAGTGATAAAAGTTGTGTACAGAACGTTGCGTTCAGCGAGTTGTTTTCCGCTGATGGTTCTCTTATCTAGCACGCGAACAAGCTACCGCAACTATCTGTTACAGCTGATTGACTAGATTCCTAGATTGACTAAACATTTTATATATATGAAAATGAATTATATCAGCTGATCAAGGACAGCGACTGCGACTGCTTGGAAACAACAAACACCAGCTGAAAACAGTGTTGCCAAGTCAAAGAAAGAGATGTATGAGAATGTTGTGCAGGATCGGTAACTGTCGGAAAGCGCAACCAAAGACTTCATGCCCTAGCCTAGATGCGATAAGCTCGCGGAAAGTAATTTGCGATATCGACAGCTTGGATTAGAATTGAACTAGCCTGGACGATCAATAGAGTTACTTCAGTACATAATACTGTAGCAGATTTATTGTACTATAAGTATATATACGCTTAAAAATAGACAAACTATTAAGGTTGTGTGGTTTCAACTTGTGGTTTAAAACGCGGGTTATAACAACAAGGTACCAAAACTGGAACGTAACTTGATGGGCTCAAAATACAATGTACTGATATGGTTCTGACCAATTACAGAGTTGACCCTTTTTCTGAATTCATATGTGCTTCCTACTACTCTATGGCTGGTCTTTCAGAAACATGGTTTAGGCCAGGCGATACATTCGTTTTCCGTATACGGTTTCCTAATCAGGAATTCCAATTCGAAATTCCGTGAGCCTAGCGCAAACGTTCAATTTTTTAAAGTGAATATTATACTACCAGAACGAATCATTATCAAAAAAGAAGAAAAAGGAACGTCGGTATTGGGTGCATCCATTAAACAGTCGGAGAATCTACGAGAGTCTATTTTATCTAAAAAGGATGTCAATATAATCTTTCGATGAACTTCATAATGGCATACGTGATAAATTAAGAAAAGATACCTGGATGAGATTATCTCTAATACACAACATAGATCTACAAACAGAGGCCGAAGCATAAGAGACGAGTTTGCTCAGTACTTCATGACGCTGGCAGGAGACATATCATACCTACATGACGAAAGGTCTACCAATTTACAACAATAAAAGTACAATAGGTCTTTGTAATAAAAGTGAAAGAAAAGTAATTTTACTCTTGTTTTATGTTTCCACTTTTGTGCACCAGTTCCAATCCTGTATAACCTCTTTGAAAACTTGCTCCCACGCCAAATCTTTGACATCTCTATTGTAGTAGTCTTGTCATGAATATCCCACAGCAGGAGTGCTTTTCAACAGCCAATGTTAGTTCTTCTGCTTCACACATTGTCCTGATGCATTCGAGCTCTTGATGCAACGACGTGACGTCCAATACGCACGTCACTGCGCGGTTCTGGATGGAAATTTCCGACTGTGTGCGTTTCGCGTGACGTCACTAGGTTTTATCGTTACCGTTTTTACGAACGCACGGGCTTGCTTCCGAAACGTTCGTACGGAATGTGTTCCGTTCGGAAAAAAAAACGAACGTGTGCGGCATTCAATGTATTTTATTAGCGTTTGATGCATTCGGCACGGGTATCATGTAAAAAACCTACAAAACGTCAAAAAAAGCCTACAAGATGTCAACTTGCATACTAGGTAGTTTTTAGGGTGCAAACAGTCGTTCCACGTTTGCTCACTTGGGTCGTTGTAAGCGCGATCCATCTATGAACGAATTAGTGATGTGCCGAGTCGCTGTTTTGATGGATCAAGTCGACTCTAGTCAGCTTATACGGTATTCGAATGATGACTCGATTCCCTGATTCGAGACCAGTACTCGAATTCTATGTTTGGTATTCGAATACTGACTCGAGTCCAGAATTCGAGTCTGACCATTCTAGTCCAGAACTAGAGTCCGATTTTAGAATAAAAGGGGAAATTGAAAACAATTAAATAAATTCACTCTGTAGAACTCAGTACTCACAATAACTGCTAACTGGCACAAAACAAAGAAATCAAAACAAAAAGATGCATGTTCAAACTTGTTTGTATTATTAGCGCCGCCCCACTTCATTGCCTAAGTGTGCGGCCACACATAAGGCGGACAGCGGATCGGAGAAGAAAGCGGAGAGGATAGCGGAGCGTTCGATTGACTTAAATTAAATAGGTATGGCCACACATACGGCAGACCGCATGGTGGAAGGAAGCGTACTTGCTAGCTGGTAGCGGAGCGGTCAAATTTGTTTGATATTTTCGCGCGTATTAGGTTATTTCCTATTGTTTTAAGAGAAGTAAACGTGGAAAAATGGATTGTGAAACTTTAATTAGTGAAGTGTTTGGTAGCCGACCAATTTGGGTAATAACACCACCGTCACCTGGGCTCTGTACTGTTGATGGAATTTGCGAATTAAAATACGCCTCCAAACCAGCGACATGTGTAGCCAGTATCCGAAGTACTTTCCGTCTTCCTCTTCGCTACCTTCCTCGCTAGCAGCTTTATGTGTGGCCGCACACTAAGTAAACAGTTTGCGAGAAGGAGCGAGTTAACCAAACTCTAATACGAGACTCGAGTCAGTTGGACTCGCATAAATAGAATCGAGTTAGCGAGTACGAATCGATTCTTCCTGACTCGAGTAGCGGAATCGAGTCCGGCGTACTCGAATCAAAATAAATTGGTATAGTGGATACCAATTACCAAATAAAACCCGATGCACGTCATCGATCTGGAGCTGTGCGCTGTTGCCAGAATTTGCACATTTTCTTTTAAGCAAATAAATTTAATAAAATAAATTGTTTATATATACCTACCATTTACTATAATACCATTATATTAAAAATAAATAAACTTGTTGTAAAATTAAATTCCTTTCTGAATAAAAACATCTGATTTTGGTAGATATTCAATGATATGAGCTCTTTACACCGACTGTTAAGTTGTTTTGGCATTTTGGATACTTTACACCACTTCACAGTAACTGTTGTTTTGAAAAGAACAATTTTAAATTGGCAAGGCAAAGCTCAAATAGCGCAAAACTCAAACTAAATAATAAAGAACTAATAGTACGACAAAAGGACAATGGCAACTGATGTCAACAAATGAGAAGTGGCAACCTCACATTTCTCTGCACGGCACTACCAACCGAATCGAGACGGGGAAATTTAAACTTCAAGTAGAAATGTCACATTGAATGTAGTCAACTGTTGGTAACCATGATTTTTATGAATGACATCACCTATGACGTGCATCGGATTTTATTTGGTATCCACTTTATTCGAGTAGGCGTGTTCTAAAGCAGGAATCGAGTCTGACTCGAGTCAAACTGTACTCGACACATCGCTAGAACGAATATCTGAATGATACGAGATACTTTTCTCTAACCAAATATGCATTATTGTGCATTATTGGTTGCAGTGAGCTGCGACAGCCACTTGAATCATATGAAGCCCCTTTGGCTTTCACTGCACGAACTCAAACACAAATGACAAAAAACAGAAGCATTATTACAATTTATATTATTAATTATTTACTCTTATATAAATTATTATTACTTGAAGAAGATATCACGGAACCACGCAACCATTGTAAGACAGGCATCAAGATCCTGATATTAGTGACAGATGACACGTTATGAAAGCAGCCAGTCAGTTAAGTAAAAAAATTTAGTAAATTGATTTCCTTTTAACATTGTCCTGTAAGAGGACAATGGCCTTAAATCATAACAAAATTATGACATGTATTTTAAATAATAAGTATATTCACTTACCTTCAGAACCACATCAAATAAAAAATAGGAATGAGTCATCACAGATCAAACATTTTCGCAGTGCCTCACATACAGGCGCTGATTTGTATTTTCTATTGACATCGCTAAATCAGTTTTTATAAAACTTAAATGACTGGAAATAAAAAAAAAATGTAACCTTTTCACTTTCATAAATATTCCTGTCTGTAGAGTATCTTCTTACCTGTTACTTCACCAAACTGCGATTTCCTTTTCTTATCTCTCACAGTTTTTGAAGTTCAGCAAACATATATATATATATATAACCACAAGTAGGAATATATATTCTCTTTATATTCTCTTTATATATATATATATATATATATATATATATATATATATATATATATATATATATATACTAAGTGACATATAAATCCGAACACCCAGTTTAAATGGTTTTATTTTAATAAAATTTTGTATAAGTACTTAATGAAGCATAATAAGTAAATGATAAAAATTTCAAAATGATTGCAGTGCTTTAAAGCCCTTTGACCTTTAATAATGTGTGGATGCACCCTGATGTGCTACGCATTCTCCAACGCGCCTAGGCATGCTTCTGATCAGGTGGTCAATGTCCTCCTGTGGTATCTCATTCCAGGCAACCACCAACTCCTCTCGAAGTGCTTCTAGAGTCTGAGGAGGACGTTACAAATTGAGCAATCTCCTACCCATCATATCCCACACGTGCTCAATTGGGGATAAGTCGGGAGATCTTGGTGGCCATGGTAACAATGTGACATCATTATGTTGAAAGAAGTCTATTGTGACTCTTGCAACATGTGGTCGGGCATTATCTTGTTGGAAACTTGGATCTGCCAGGGTGTCAAGATAGGGTAAAAGATGGGGTTCTAGAACTTCGTGGATATAACGCTGCGCGTTCATGTTACCTCTGATGAAGATTAAAGGTGACCTGGAACCATAAGCTATAGCACCCCAAACCATAACTCCAACAGTGTGATGAACATGTCTTTCAACAAAAAACTGTGGATTCCTCCTTTCACCACGTCGCCTTCTAACCCTGGTACGACCATCGTCCATGCCTAAACAAAATCGAGACTCGTCACTAAAGACAATACTGTTCCATTCCTGATCCCAAAGTGACCGTTGTCTGCACCACTCAAGGCGATTACGTCGGTGTTCTAGAGTTAAAGGGAGGACCCAGTGTGGCCGGTATGAAAACAAGCCAAAACTTCTCATTCGTCGGTAAACACTTCGCATGCCAATAGGTCTTCCGTGTTCTGCAAACCATTCATTTGCAATGGACCTGGTAGTGGAGAAACGGTCCCTTAAGGCCAATAATCTTAGGCGGCGATCTTCACGGTCTGTTGTTCTACGGTGGCGTCCAGTGCCCCTTGCTCTTTCCGTACGGCCTTCTCGAAGCCATGCCTGACAACACCTAACCACAGTGTCTACACTTCTTTGCACTCTAACTGCAATTGC